GAATGAAATTTAACCGACTCTGCTATAAAAAAAGTATCTTTTTTTCTTCTCAATGTCAACTTTCAATTTCTTTCGAAAATGCACACAACATTGAATGACTATGATCAAGTTGAACGATACATCAATGTTTTACATTTGTGAAATAATTGACCTATTCAATTTGGCAATGGCGCAAAAGATCCAAACAGAATGAAAAAAATAAAACGAATTAAGACTGAATTGACGAATAAATCGTCTAAAAAAAGATGATCGAAGTCGGAATAGACCAATCACGTAGCTTACTTTGTTTTATTTTTTTTTCAGTCTGTTTGGGGTCAAAGTGGTGAGATGCAAACAATGAACAAATATGCATATACAGCTCTGTCTTAGTCAAAAGCATCACAGCCATAATAAAATATGAACTGATCAAATATCCATTTTCTGGACTTACCTGATGAAATATTACTTATTATTTTGAAAAAGTTGAACAACATTGATGTACTTTATTCTTTATTGGATATAAATAATAAACGATTTAACATTCTGGCACAAGAAAACACTTTTACCAACATTCTCAAGTTTGTCTCCATTGATGATATCTCTATAATCGATCGATTCTGCAACGATATATTACCAAGAATTCATCATAATGTGAAATGTTTTATTCTTGATCCAGTTCTTATGGAACGTATTCTTCTTGCGACCGACTATCCGAATCTAACTGAACTTAAAATTTCTCATTTCCAAGAAGATGCTTTATATTATTTTTTAAGTAAGCATTTAATATGAATTTGATTAGTTGAGAAATACTAAAAGTGTTAAATAGAATAGATTACAGTATATTTCATTTCATTGTTTTTTGTCGTTTAGAAAAATCGCCACTTCAATCTATTTTCCAAGAACAAATTACAGTTCTGACTCTTATCAATGATGATAAACACAAAAACGAACGTTCGTTGAAAAATTATAGTATATATGTATATAGTCATATCTTCACCTTGTTCCCCAATTTGAAAAAAATTAAGTATTACGGGAGGATCTTTTGTGTCGTCATATCCAGGTTTATCACTTCGTGATCAGCCATTTACTACTTTTTCATCTCCGATTCTTACTCATTTATATATCAATGTCGATAATTTTGATGATTGTCTTTATTTACTTGATGGTCGACTTAGATAATTGACAACATTACATGTTACTCTCTATACTCTAGACAGCTCTTCAGAAATTGTTCATAATATGGTAAGTTTTTACAAATAATTTTATTTATGACATGAAGATTGTAACTATTTTAATGCAGTTATAATTGATTTCATAAGAATCAAATAAGAGATCGAATGGTTAAGTGTCATGTTGAGAGCGGGAAAAAACTGAAAACTGTTGAAGAATATATCAAAATCATCGACGTTAAGTTTACAGCTACTAGGAATTTGAATCTGATAAGAAGATCAAGGAAATTTGCTAGAAATTATAGCTACATATTTTATCGGCTAAGTTTCACATTGTAAACTAGACTGCTGTGTTTCATGATTGATTAAATATTATCCTATGTTAATAACCATCAGCA